ATTTAGCCTGTCCAGGTACAGACCACAGCAAATATCTAATCCTGTCTTGCTCTAGGCTTTGGGTCACATCTCAATCCCTTTTGTGTGAGACAAAAGCCCTGAGCATCCCTACAAAGCGCCTACGCTGAGGTCAACAGGCCTGCACACCACTGTAAAGAGTTCACTGACTTGTTCCCTTGATGAAATGGAACAGCTCCATCAATCCATAACTCCCTGGTTAAAGGAAAAGAATGGGATGTCAATAGTATATATTTTCAGGCTCATTGATTCCGCTCAGAAATATGAAGTGGAGTCAGACCATTGCTCCGCCTTGTCCAGTGCCCTCAATCCTGAGTAGCAGCAACTCTACCATGCCTCAGGCAGAGGTCTTTGCACTGAACTACAGACACCCCCCACCATGGACCACTATTCCCACCAGACCAAGAAGGCAACATGCCACATTAAGATTCTTGGAGCAATCCCTGCAACGAGGTTATACACAGGGTGGTGCTAAGCGCACAGCACTGTAGCTCTTATAGAAAAGAAACCCTAGCTTGGGATGCACGGTAGCACCCAGACACCCGTGTGAGGTTTTCTCCCACCTGGCCTTTTAACAAGGGTTCTGAACACTATCTGGCTATTGCGTCACATGCCATTTTAAGCTGCTTTAATTCCCTCTGATTGCAATGAGCTGTTTCTGTACCATACCGTTTATTTGAATACATGCCAATTAAAAACACACACAACATAATCCAAAATGACAGAAAATCAGAAACACTGTGTTTTATTTATCCATTTTATTCGACCCTTCCTTAAAGAGCTTCTTAGGGTGAGCAAAGAACATACATGAAGTCATTCTGATTTGATTCCCGCAAGTAGCCCAAAAGGCTGTTGACAATCCCAGTCATATTTTTGTCTGAATGTTCACAATCTCCCCTAAATTTGACTGTCATCACTCATTTGTGTATATTCTACAACTAGGGAAATACATCTCTCTTTTGGGACATTCACATTAATCGGGGACTGTTAGCGCTCGTATGTGGCTTCACTCTTTCACAGCACCATTATATATGTGTCTGTTCTGCATCTGGCACTTTTTAGCCCTAGCAATGTTGGAAACAAAGGAGGAAGACTTGAATCATGGACACAGAAGGCATTTTCTTTAAATTTTATCGATTTCCTCCATACACGTGGATTCTCCCATTCTCACTCTAAAAAGCTGATCAAGGTTCACTGTGTGAAATCCAGTTCATGAGTTTTCAGTATGCAGATTGAAAACTTCATTTCCCTCTTGGGAATTCTGGCACTTCTTTTTCCAAAAATAAAGCCCTGGTGAAATCAATTCCAATCATTTGGTGGGATCTCATCCTTAATCCTGCCATGTGCAATGAACACATGCATCATCTGAAACACAAGGTCAGGGGTGCAAATTCTCCAACCTTGCTATGTGAGTGGCAGTACATACCACATTCACATCGGGGAGTGCCAATGAGAATTCTACTGGATTCCTCACATCAAAATGCCTATTGCACAGCAGATCACATCAACATCTAGCATACACAGAACCCAAAGAGGGAATTCAAGCATATAAGCTGCTTCTCTCCACGTATCTCCCTTGCAGAATTCGAGCACTTACTTTTAAGGACACACAACCCAGGCCTCAGTTACTGTTAAGATGGATTTCAGGCTATTACATACTTTTGTATCCCACCCTTTTTCTCCAAGAAGCATAGGACAGTACACATGAAACTGTTTCTGCTCTATCTGCACTGCAAGCCTGAAAGACAACAATGTGCTCAAGATCACACACTGCGCTTCCAGGACAATTGGGATTGGAATTAATATACCCTCAATACACAGTCCAAGTCTGGTGCTCTCTATACTACGCAATTCAATTATTCCTTAAACATTCAGACTCTGCACAGAGAAGACAGCCTCACTCTTTCAGATGTCCCTTTCAGTATGTCCCCTTTCGTATCTGGTGAATATGTGACATTGGAAGAATTCCTCACTTGACCTTAAGGAGTCTCAAAGCAGCTTACAATCACCTTCCCTTCCTCTCCCTACAACAGACACCTTGTGAGGGATGTGGGGCTGAGAGAGCTCTGAGAGAACTGTGGCTGGCCCAAGGTCACCCAGCAGGCTGCAGGTGGAAGAGCCGGTTCTCCAGATCAGCCACTCTTTGCCGCCACACCACGCTGGCTGCAAAGCCAAATCAGTGGGCGCAACAGAGGGATGTCCGAAAATAAGGTGCTATACCAGCAATTTGCAGATTCACGTAGTATTTCAACACCAACTACTATAATTCCATAATGATATGGAATTACATAATTTTGACATGTAGGAGAGATTAAAAACCATAAAAATGGCCAAGCTACATCAGACCAAACGTCCATCTGATTAACTATTCTGCCTCTGGCCGCCACCATCCAGATCCTTGAAAGGAGACAGTCACATTTGGCATTCTATGTGCATGTGATCCAGGCAGCCTTTTTGAAAAGGTAACAAGGAACAATGGGGGGGGGGGAACAGAATGGTACACTTTATCCCAGTGAACTCCAACATGCTGCTCATGAGTGCCAACATGCCCACCAATGAGTTTCTTGGTGTTTACTTCTTTCCTCAGCATAAGCATCTCTTCCTCCAATCAAATAGCCACTCCTAGCCTCCCTCCACCTCCCTGATGCTTTGAAAGAACCCATGAAGTATCACTTAGGTGTCTGCAAAGGAACGGCCATTCAGAAACTGTAGGGGAAAAGCTTGGCTTGCAGCTTCCCAACACTTTGTGACTGGGCCCCAACTTCCAATGACAACCATCTGTGAAAGCCCCCATGGTGGTCGTTTGGTGGCAGGCCCACCGTGCCTCCTTAAGAAATCCAAAAAGTGCTCACGGTCTCACCAAGATTCGGGGAACGGCTTTATCCTTCCCCCACTCAATGCTTTTCCGTTCTGGATCGCCCTCCCCAAAGTTGGTTTCAGATTTTTTTTAGAAAGTGACGACCTGCTTGCAATGTCTAGTTTGGCCCCCTGAAGCAGGGCATGCAGATGACCCCCCAGCACCTGTTGCTCAGCCCCCTCCCTCACACCTGATATTTAGAGGTCTGCATAGAAATTGCATCAGTGACTGCTAATCTTCCATTCCTTTGCAATGCTCAACCATCTCTGCTCCTCAGACGTCTGCTCTCAACATATACACTGGTAAATCATTGGTTTAGTGTCACATTGATGAAGGGTCTGCCTCAGGTCACAAGGTGCAGGTTTCAAAGGCTGCTGGATTTGGCTGGACCAAGGTGGAGGTGGAGAAATTTCTGGATCTCACTCCAAGAATGGACTTGTGCTGCAGCGTGGGCTTGGGCCTCCCCTCCCCACAAAACAGGGCGGGAGAAAGCAGGTAACCAGGAATGGTGACAGAATGGCGAGCCTGGGGGTTCGATCAGGTGCCCAGCCTTTGGGTAGGAAAGAAGGGCACAGTGGGTTTTCCCCAGCTTCTTCATCCTCTCCATGATTGCTGTGGCAAAAGCCTTGCTTTTGCAGTTCCCGTCACTTTCTCCTGCAATGAGGAGGATCTTTCCTTGGGCTTTCTCCACGGGTAAGACACTCTCTTGATGCAGCTTTGCTCCTGGGTCTTCATAAAGGTTAGAGAAATCGACAACGCCATGATCGGTTATTAGCATACATTCTCTTTTGTATGGGATCGGCGGGATGCAGAGGTCTCGGTAAGAGAGAGGATTTCCGTGGACGGCGTTGGTCCCGTTGATGCAAACCGCCGCGCCAATCTGTGGCAAGTAGGTCGCCATGGCCAATGCAATCTCTGCCCCTTTGCTTATTGCCACTATACCGAGGCTTGGCCCACGAACCTTAAAAACACATCAGAATCATTAGACAGAGTCAAGACACAACACCCTTTGGGTGCTCAGTGGAGTAAGGAGAGATGAATCATTGATTCTCAGTAGTTAGGTTCTAAAGACGATGGTACCAGTGGCAGCCTGGACAAGTAGATCATAGCTATCTCAGTGATGCATATGTCTGCAAGTAGGAGCCTGGCTACTGTTCTGCCATTTTTCCCCCCACAAAACTTTTATTTTTGGATATAATAGCGCATTTAACATTTGCTTCATTTGACAAATACCCATATTTCCCTTCCCTCCCTCCCCTACTAGTGGCTTCCCGCAGTGCTCTACCCTACTTCCCTTTACATTCATATATTTATTTCACATTTCTATTTTCTGTTAGAAGATAACATTTCTATTAGTATTGTTCTGAATACAATAAACTCTGTTTCACATCCCAGTTTTTCTCTAAGTATTCTTTAATACTCCATTCATCAAAAAATTCTTGATCTTCTTTATTATTTAGTTTTTTTGTCCATTTCTGCCATAAATAACACTTTTTGTATCCATTCTGTAATCTCAGGTGTTTTCTCTTGTTTCCAGCATGGTGCATATACCACTGTTCTGCCATTTAAATAGGGGGTACACCGTGGGTGGAGTCAGGTGGGGCTTTTCCCAGCAAGGATCCTGATTGGCTTTTAAAAATATAAACAGGACCATGAAGCAGAAGTCATGCGAAATGTACCACTTCAGAACACAGTAAAAGCAGAATGCATATTTGAATTTCCTCTCCACTTAAGTCAGGCTGATTCAGACATTACTGAGTACATAGTTTGGGTCTGGGGTCCCCAACCTATGAAACAGTTACCCATGAGTTACACTGAGGTGTTGGCAGAGTTTAAATATGCAAAGGAAGTGGAGTATTGACTGTTTAGAGAAAAATAAGTAGGTTTATTAAAGAAGAACAAACTGTTACAGACCATAGGAAAAAGAGAACACCAACTGTCCAGCCTAACCGCTGTGACAGGAACAACAATGAGAAGGAAGCTCTGCAGGAGCAGGAAGTCTCCGGAAGAGCCAATCAGGAATCAGTAAGGACATAATTTGAAACTGTTGGCAGTCCCTTATCTATCTGTGCTGACTAGCAGTCCTTCAGCTGTCCCCTTGCAGGGTGATCTTCAGATCATAAGAAGAATTGTTAAGTGCCATCTTGTTTGCACTGTTTTCAAAAGGGGGGCTAGATTACGTTTTTAACCATTATTGTGTTTTATCTGTTGTGACTGCCCTGAGCCCACTCTGTGGGGTAGGGCAAGATATAAGTTTAATAAAATAAAAAAAATAAAAGCTGCACTATAGACCTTGCATATTCCAACATGAGGAAGCATGTGTGCCTATGAAAACTCACACCTCGAAGAAAATTTGGGTCGGTCTTAAAGGTGCCACTGGACTCAAACGTGGTTCTGCTACTTCAGACCAACAGGGCTACCCACCTGGATCTATCTCCATGAGTTACAGGTTCTCATCAATTCCTGTGGGTATGCTGCTGACACAAATCGGGGACCATGCTGCACATGGAAAGGAGGCTTCCGCCCCCATGCCCTTTGTCCAACCTGAAACGGTCCCCTGGGTAGCCTCCAGGCACAACACAGCCCCAACCTGAGGCAGGCACCATGTGCATGAGAATTAAGGAGAACCTGCAACTTGCATCTGACTGTATACAGGGCAGGGATTCCATATGCAACTTGTGTATGTCGAAATGTGTAAATTGTGTTCATGGAAAGCTTATGTTTATGTGGAAATCCCTGCTGTCCAACCTCTGAGCTACGTTATGCACAGTATCACCAAACTTCACTGCTGAGATGCAAGAAGGAGATGCAACTTGGTGGCGCCCAGGAAGCAATGTATTCCTTTGTCAGGTGCAGGGAGTTCTCATTTCCCCCCTACCTGCACTCTGAAATAGAGCCGCTCAGGATGGCCTGCAGCCTCGGCTCTTTCTACCTGGTTGAATCAGACTAGACCAGGGTTCCCGAGCTTTTTGAGTCTACAGACACCTTTGGAACGCTAGCTCAGTGTGATGAGTGCAGCCACAAAATGGCTGCTGCAGGAGGTGGGGCCAGCCACAAAAGAGCTGCCAAAGATTGCCTGGCAGCCTTAAGTTCTTGCTCATTAGCATCACGCACCACTAGGTGGCGAGCTAAACTTATTTTGGGGGCTGAGAGAGCTCTGAAAAAGCTGTGACAGACCCAAGGTCACCCAGCTGGCTTCATGTGGAGGAGTGTGGAATTAAACCCGATTCTCCAGATTAGAGTTCATCGCTCTTACAGTAGTGCTGTTATTGAACAGCTGTAACTTCTTCAACAAACTCAGACAGATGAAACAGCTGTAGAAGGCACACCTTATCACCCACAGAGAATTTAACTATGCCTTGATGTAGTTATTTGTAGGCAGAAGGTACCTTGGGATGCTTCAGGAGAAACTCAGCAGCCTCCTCAAAATATTCCAAATCCATTGGGCCCAGAAAACTGGGCAGATCTTCGTAAGCAAAATAGGCCAGAGCCAAAGTTGCAAACCCCCGGCTGGCAAGAAGACTGGCCCGAAATTCAACCAGCCCACCGACGCCACCAAAAAGGTCAATTACACCAGGAAAGGGACCGTTTCCTGTGAACACAGTAAGGACAACAAGGAGAGGATGTGATCAGGGAGCGAAGGAGAAAGTTATAGAAATAAGGAGCGATGACCGATTGAGCGATTGCTAGATGCATTTGTCAGATTGGGATTCTCACAGGACTGGTGGGATTTCAGGGTGGCAAAAGGGGCTGAACAGAGAGTTGCCAACACTGGATTCGGAAATACCTGGGGGTTTGAGGGTGGAGCCTGGGAGGGTGGGCCTTAGAGATCTCAGTAGGGTTACAGTGCCACACACGCCACCTTCCAAAGCAGCCATTTTCTCCAGGAGAAGTGGAATACAGATTTTAAATAAAAGCCCTCTTTGTAGCCTGGAGATCAGTTGCAATCCCAGAAGATCTCCAGTCCCCACCTGGAAGTTGGCAACCCCGGCTAGACCACTTTAGACCGCAGATGGGGGCGCATACCAGTAATGTTCCTCTGTGTACAACCTCCCTGCAATATAAGCCTATCCGGGAGGGAGGGAGGTTGTACCCAGGTCCTTGCAAATCCAGTACTGGTTTCTGATTGATAGGGGATTATTCATGCAAGGAGATTTCAAACGACGCAAGCCCCTAACCTGCGGTGTGAAGGGGTACGATCCATATTGCCCCTTCCATCATTTCACCAAATGGGCAAGACAGAATAGTTCAGAAGGACATCTTTGTAGGTCCAAAGCTGCATCGTGATAGTTCAGCTCAGGAAGTTACTTTTATTAAGGACAAAGTCATTCCTACGTTGATTTGTCTCATTGCCGTAAACAGAGAGGTTGGCTTGCATTTTGGTTTCCCCACCACCAGGCCCTTTTCTTCCCCCTGTTCTACAATCTCAGTCCAGCTGCCTTTTTTTGTCTTACTGGGAATCTTTGCAGTTAGGTTTAAATGTCCCCCTGTCTTGCAACCCAGAGGCCTGTTATCACAGCAGCAGGTGGCCTTTACACTCCCTTAGCAGTGTTGCGCAAGAGAAAGCTGTAAAGCTGGCAAGTCATCGCTCAAGAGAGAACCTGCTTGCTCAATTGGTGGGAAGAGGGCACCAGGTGGTGTAACAAGTCGGCCTCTATAGAAGTTGCACCGAAACCGGGAGAGGAAAACGAAGGAGCGTGGGATAGCACGGGGCCAGAATTTGAGGTAGCGTCTGCACCACATCCTCAGCCTGTGAGAGTGCTAGTGACTAGCGCATCCCCAAATTGCCACGGCCTCATCGGTTGGGGAGGAGAGAGACTCTCAAGCCTGGTCATTTGCGTCCACTACGCTATCTCCTTGAATGGAAGCTCTTCCCAGATGCTACCGGCAAAAGCTTATTGCAACATAAATCACGCCGGAATGGTTTGTTTAAAAAAATTGGAGTGACTCTGAACAGACCAAAGGACCATCTCGGTCTGTTTTAGTGGCATGTGAGACAGTCATCCGTTCCCACATGAGCGTGAACATCTCATCACCCAGGGCATGGATCCCGGGAATGCTAACGCTACATGTAACGCTGACAAGCAAGAGCACGTGGGCAGCCGTCGTCCCGTTTGCTCGCCAGGTGGTATTCTGACAGAGTGCCACTGGAGACGAGAACCATGTATGCCATAGTGGCCTCCTAAAGTGGAGGGGTGGGATAAAAATAGAGTGGAAAGATTCCCCTGACTGGGATGGCCCAGGCTAGTCCACGTGTCAGACCTTGAAAGCTAAGCAGGATTGGGCCTAGTTAGTTTTTGGATGGGAGACCTCCAAGGAATACCACGCTCACTATGCAAACGCAGGCAATGGCAAACCTCTTCTGACCATGTCTTGGAAACCCTGGGTGGTTGCCATAATTAGGCTGTGACCTGACTGCACTTTCCACCACCACTGGAAAGACTGTATGAAAAACAGAACTGTACCTTTAATTGCACTTGGGCATGTGTAAACAAGTCTGGCAGGGCACAAGTGTAATCTGAGTGCATTCTACAGGGTAGGGGCCACAACCGAGAATGTCCTTCCCTTAGTGACAGCTAACTGAACCATCCTGGGACCAAGCACCTGCAAGAGACCCCTAGATGATGACCAAAGGGAGCATGGGTGGGTTGTAACAGGAGAGGTAGTATGGGGGTCCCAGTCCATTAAGGGCTTTGGGATAATTTGTCAAAGTACAAGTTACTGAGTAACAAATGTAAGTATTTCTTCTAGCAAGTATCAGTGGTAATGTTTATAGATATTTATTTATTTTTATGGTGGTTGTTATCAAGGCCTCCCTAGATTCAGGACTATATATGATTAGAGTGCTTTCTCATTATGAATTAATAATAATATTAATCAATCATTAGGGCTGTCAGCTGATTAAATGTAACAAAAACACAGTTCACCTTCTGCCTTTTGAACTATGAATCAATCAGCTCGGAGGTTAAAAAGAAATATTGGTCTCTGGAGAGGTGGCATATAGATTCCCGAATCAAATTAAAAAATGTCATTAAGTAGTAAGGTTGCCAGGTCCCCCCGGGGGGCAGGAAAACCCCACTCGAGAGGCCCGTTTCCTGCCGGCCTGGATCAGGCTGCTGGGTGAACCCCAGCCCCAAAATCTGCAACGTGCGCGGCGTGAAGACGCCATCCAGAGGTGACGTAATCACGTTGGGCATGTTACTGGGGGACGCTCTATCATTCGAGGGAAAACTCTATGGTTTCCCCTTGAATGACTGTGCCCCCACCCCCAACATGCCCGACATGATGACATAACTTCCAGGTGGCATCATCACAGTGCGCGCGCACTCCCAGACAGGGACCGGACTCCCCCCGCTATTAGGTAAGTTCGACTTAGCAACCCTATTATGTAGCAATACTTAATGAGGCTGGATGAGGATGAACAAGCTCTAGCTTAATCCTGACAAGACAGAGGTTCTCAGGGGTAGTATTTATTTGTTTGTTTATAATAATTGTTTACTTTGTAAGCCACCTTGAGTTCCTATAAGGCAGAAAGGCAGCTAATAAATGTTATAAATAAAATAAATAAAGTAATTGGAATTAACTTTGGGACGCCTCTCTCAGTATGTCCCTGGAAGAGCATTGCGCTCTAGTAATAAGAACCTCCTGGGGGTCCCTGGCCTGAGAGAGATCCGGCTGTCCTCAACCAGAGCCAGGGCTTTTTTGGCCCTGGCTGGACTCTCTGCTGGAGAACATCCGTGCCCTGCGGGATTGGTTCCCTTTCCACAGGGCATGTAAGGCAGAGGTGTTCCGCCAGGCACTCGGCTGAGGACAGTGACGGCACAGCGTGTAGTCTGGCCCTTTCATACCCTCAATTCTCCATAAGTTGCCCCTAGGAGGTTGGCGGAATCTGAAATCTTCTCGCCATCTTGGAATGAATTGAATGTTGCTGATATGCATTGTATATTTTACTGTGGGTTTTTAACTTTTATTCATTGCATGTTCCTTTCTATTGCAAGCCACCATGAGCCCTGCTCGCAGGGAAGGGCAGCCTGAAAATTCAAATAAACAAATAAGACTTCTGGTGACCCCCTTGGGGGTTTTCAAGGCAAGAGACGTTCAGAGGTGGTTTGCCTCCACATCACGACCCTGGTATTCCTTGGAGGTCTCCCATCCAAACACTAGCCAGGTACTCCTGGAAGATACTAGAATGTTACAATTAGAAGGACATGATCTAAGAATGGGCTGGCGTGCCTATACATGGTATGATAAGGATAACATCCATTCAACCTTTTCTAAGCATATAATCAGAGGAGGATTAATAAACATTTGGAGGAAAATAAAAGAAAGATTTTGCACTAAAATCCCAAACACTAGCCAGAGCTGACCCTGCTTAGCTTTCAAGACAGAGATGCTTTAGTACAGTCTTAGACAAACAGTGAGACTGCAGCTCTCCCAGGGCTACCACTGATCTCTTACAGAAACGACAGAGAGCAGTTCCACTGGAGACAATGGCTTTTTGGAGGATGGACGGTATCGCATTAGGAGATCCTAAGAATGTCTGGCAGCCCCAATGTCATTTCAGAGGTGGTTTCCCATAGCCTGCGTCTGCGTCAGGACCCTGGTATTCCATCCAAATCTGATGAGAGCCTGGACTATCCAGGTCAGGGTGGTGTTGGGGTACATTGACAGCAGTGGCATCATCTCATCTGAGAGGGTTGACCTTTCCCAGTTATAATACCACTCTATACACACACACACACACACACACACACAAAACTCCTGA